CACGGATTTCGAAAAAGGTTACAACGAGGAAAAATTATGCCGGAATGGATAGTGCACATCCTCATAGGGATATTGGTTTTGTCTGTCCCATGCAAATGCAAACGCCACCCGATATGGGCTATTCGCTGAAAGTTGGAGGAAAGGTATGTTGGAAAATTTATTTTTATTTAGATTCTATAATTTTTACTATGACTTCTTCAATTCTTCTTAGAAGTGTGAGTTTTGTAAAAGTACCAAATTTTTCAAAGTATGAATACCGAATATTGAGGGTACCGTTATTTGGGTGGCTATATCAAAACCTGGACCGATATTCATAATTTTAGGTAAGGAGATTTTATTTTCATTGAAGAACGTCCACAAACCCCCCGAAATATCGAATATTGAGAGGTACCGTTATATGGGGACTACCCTAACTAGTTGACCACAATATAAAAAAATGTAGCTATGGAAAGGTGCCACCTAACAAGAATTCTAAATATCAAATTATAGCCAATTCGGTTGAAAAATGTGCCCAAACTCCTCAAAATCCGGAATATTGAGGATACATTTATATGGAGGTTATACCAATACCTGGACCGATATTGATTATTTTTGGCAAGGAGATTTTATATCCAATAGGAAGTCAAAGTACCAAATTTTTTCAAATACAATATTTATGGTCCTTCGAGCTAAGAAAAGAAGGGAAATATTAGTATTTGTTACCTAACTTTAAATGAAAAATGGTCCTTCGACTATTTAAAAATACTAGTATCCAATTTAAATGGATTTAAAATACAACATATTTTAAATTAAAAGCTGAAATGGTCCTTCGACTAGTCCGAGTTACTAACAGGAGTGAAAAAAGAGTAATAGCAATTGTCATTCGACTAATCAAAAATTCTAGTGTCCCAACAAATTTTAAATTCGAGTTCAGAAAATAAAATAATAAAATATTCCGCTGAGAGTGAACATTTTTAAATGGTCCTTCGACCTACTGCTAACTTACGTGAAACATAAAAACAATTAATTCCGATGAAGAAGTAGAGAAATAATTGTTAACGCAAGTAAAAATAAAAGCAATTTGTGAAATGCTCCTTCTGCTAATCAGAAATAGAAAAAAAACACAGTAATGTTATAGTCTGTAAAAATTGAAATGGTCCTTCGACCAGTCCAAGTTACAACAAATCCCATGATCGGTTAAAACCTGAAAAAATAAAACGTGCGATTCCGGGTAATTAACATTAATTCCTGACAAGTTAAATGCTAGATATGAAGCTCAAATGGTCCTTCGACTAGTCCCTATTACTAACTGAAGTGAAAATTCCAATCCAGAAATTGAAAAAAAAACGAACGGTTAAATCCTGAAATTATAATCTATAAAAGTAGTATTGGTCCTTCGACCTACTACGCGTTAATGAAATAAATGTAAGTGTCTAGATCGACTCAGCTAGTCGAGATATGACGATCGGTATACATAAAGGTGGGTCTAGGACCAATATTTCGCGGCGTTACAAACTTTTGGGGCTGCACAAAGCTATAATACCCTGACAACATAGTTGTGTAGGGTATAAAGAAGGGCATTCCAATCTATAGTATGTAGTAATGGTCCTTCGACCTACTACGCGCATATGGATGCAAGTGAAAATAAAAAATGTGTACCCCATTAAAATTCCTTCAGAGAAATATTTTCTGATTCCATTACAAAAATCAATAACAACTTTCAAAATCTCTAGAATATTATCCCAGCATTGCAATTATAAAAACCATTGAACGGAATAATAGCCGGATACCCTGCATCTGTTTAATTCACACAAAGATTAAATGGATATTTTCAAAAGCTTAGCCATCCACAAAGCATATCATTTTCTAATCCCAATATTTATTCCATTAATAACCATTACTTGTGCATAATAGCAAATAATCATCATCATTTCAATGTAAGCGGAAGGAAGAACGAAGCAAATAAAGAGAGAATAGCAAATAAAATGGGATATAGCAAAAGGATATTACGTTTGTTATTCCGCTGATATGCCAGTAATGTTGTCTACAACATAATTTTATACCGAGGACATGGAAGCAGCAGACAGACAGACGAAAAACATTTTCTAAAAATAATATTTATGCAACGGCGAACCATTCAAGGCAACATGTTGCATAAACAAACAGACATTATTTTTAATACTCAGTAAGTGCTGGCGATGGTGGTGGTGTTGTTTTTGAGGGAATAATGGTTGATTGACTGCCGTCTTGTTTGTCAGGGCCTATTTTTAATTTCAAACGACCGATCGACCCTCCGCATGGTGTCTGTCTCATCGCCGTCGCCTTATAAATCCTTTAAATGTTAAACACAACTGCAGACAGTTTTGTGTAAAACACATCCGGCCATCGATAATACAAACTCGTACATACAACAATCGCCGCCTATCTATCAGATGGTGGTGAGTGAACCTTTCCATTTCTACTACTGCCACAGTTGACAAAGGACAATAACACTGCCTGACATATACTTATTTAAGGGTTTTTTTTGTGAAGACCTCACACACTCGCACACAAATTCTCCGCATTACAGGCTCTAGAATTTCATACATTCCTCCGTTTTTTTTAAAGAGGTGCCAAGAAAATTAATCGTTGCCTTGCCTTAATGTCTCTCTTTCTATTCTTCTGCTTCTCCTTCATCAAGGGGGCGAAAGATACAATCAATAAGTATTTCTATGGCATGAAATTCGTTTATTATGAAATTCTCTTCTTTTGTCACACCATATGACATCAGGACACAACCGTTGACGTGCTTAAGCTTCAACAGGTATCACATCTATCTGTGTCAGGAGGAATGTAAAATACTAACGACTTGACATGCTATCTCCTACCATTTTCCTATAGAAATCTATCGAAGTAGCCCCCTACCAATTTCTTTTCTGGTTTTACGTTTTTTTTTTTCAATTATCTAGGTTATATCCTTGAAATTGTCTGCTTGGCGTTGTTTTTTTTTTTTTTTTTTGTTTTGCATATCGTTGGCATGGACATTGCTCTCTTTGCAGTTCGAACTAATGAGGTCAGGTGAAAAAAAATAAGCGAAACATGAAGAGGATATAAAATGGGGTAACATTTAATCGATATAATTAAAGTGAGGGCATTTTTTAATGAAAAATTAAATATTAATATAAAAATTGCTATATTTTTATGAATTCATCGGGAAAGCACAATTTCTGTAGCGGAATTTAGAATTTTAAAAAATTTGCATTTACATACAGTGTCTAAAAATGTTAAATATATGTTTAAAAATATGTCAAACATAAACGGCGAACTTCGCTATGGTCCCTCGACCAGTTCAAGCTACTACCAGAAGAGAAAATAAATGTATTTAGAATGTGAAATGGTCCTTCGACTATTCAATATTACGAGTATGCATTTCAAGATAACAAAAACAAACAAAAATTTGCATTTTACGTACTTGGTATAAAAGTTCGCTTAAGTTTTTGTGCAGAAATATAAAAATGTGGCCAATTAAATCCCTTAATGCTCTTTCAACCAGTTTGTGATACGAAAAAATGAAAATTAAATTATTTGAACCCTTATTTGGTATGTGAAATGGTCCTTCGACTAGTCAAAATTACTGGTATCCAATTATAAAATAAAGGTGAAATAAACACGTCGAATATGCCATGATAGGGGTTGAAATGATTCAAGGACTCGTCCAAAAATTACGGAAACCAATTACAACCTTAAGGACTTCTGGTCCTTCGAAGGGGATTCAATATTCTTAGTTGAGAAGCGTAAATTATAAATTGAGAAGTGTGACTAACAGTACCAAAAATATAACCTTATATATAGTTAATGGTACTCCGACAATTCGACTAGTCCGAAATAAAGGTCTTATAAATTGAAATGGTCCTTCGACTACTTTAATCTACATCAAAAATCTTAGTTTTGAAAGTTAAATGATCCTTACTGAACCTCTTACACAACTAATATTGAAAAATAAAAGACTGAATAGAGAACCAACTCTAATTACAATGAAATCGGAAAATGGTCCTTCGACTAGTCCGAATTAACCGAAAAGGCAAAAACTTGGTCGTTCTGAGTTACTATTTGGAAAGTGAAGTTTTGATCCTACGACTATTCACAACATATGAACTATTTGTTTCTCTATTTATATCGGAAAATGGTCCTTCGACTAGCCATAATTAACAGAAAAGGCAAAAACATTGGTCATTCTGAATTACGATCCAATAATTAGCTAAAGAAATATGGTTTATCATATTGCTAGCTTACAAAAAATTTAATTACATTAGATTCGGATATTATATGGACTGGTTCGAACTGTATTCACTGCAACGACATGGGAATTTTAAATATAATCAAATGTTCAGACCACTTTTACGACATTCATTTGGATTTAATTTCTATATATCCAATCTAAGTAATTACACATTATTATTGCTACCAAAAAACGAAGATACATTTCAGTAGAAAGTAATATCAATCAAAATTTCCCATCCTTTTTTTAATAGGTAATTTAATCCTTTTATTTCGGATTATTGCAAATGACAACTTCATTGTGAAATTATTTGTTAGCAACAAATAAATTGGTCATACAAGCAAACTTCTAGGACGGACTTGCAGTTGAAGTTATCATATTCCATGTTTACACAGGGTAGTCAAGTTGATAAACTGCTTGCTTGTTTTTCGAAACGGCAGCTTTATTTGTTATCGATATTTTTGTTTTGTAGCAAATGACTTCTTTAACGTTGTCAATGATTGGAAAATAACTGGCAATATGGTTGCTCGTACACCAGAGAATAGATGGAGAGAGGGGAAGTGGCCACTTTGGTGACAAAAATTTATACCCACTATCGATTACGGTGACAATTTGCAACACCTTTTAGAGTAAACATGGCCAAAACTGAAAACCTACTTACCAGGCAGCCAGGCAATACCATACTCGAGAGTTAACAATCAATTGAATGGAATAGGGTGCAGCTTTGTGTTTGTGAGTTTCTTGCTTACTCCACCCCGACACGAACCATATTTCTATAAATTTTCGCTCGCCCTCCTCCATATCTCTCTTTTTGTGGACCATTAATTGAAACAACTGCCTTTTAAAAAATATATTTATTTTAGCAATATTAATGACACTAAATATCAAATAATTAAATATTAAATG